GGGGCAGACTGAGCTGTGAATTCCTTACAGCTATGGCTCCCCTGATACATTTGACTTCAGCGTTCCTCCTTTCTCACACGAAACAAGAGTGGATGCCACTCAGTGTACTCTGTGCTGCCCCTTCCTTCCACAGACAGTATTTATAAGGCATGGGGGTCTCCTGTTCTCCTAAATGGTAAGTCTTGCAGACTCTTCCCATTCCCTCTACTACCCTTTGATAACCAAGAGCTTGCTTGCTTTAACCAAAAAGCTGGCTTGCTTTTTTTTTCTCAATTTGAGAAAATACTCTGCAATTTGTCTTGATTGGTTATGTTAATTTTGTATGTTTTCTGTTGCATGCACAGTGATTAATGTACACAGCACAACTTTCACAAGCATTTGCATTGCCGTAGTTAATAATGCATATTGCAACTAAGCATCTGCTCAGAAACAAAAATGTAAACCCTCCATCCCACTGCAAACTCCTAATGTTACATCTGTTAACCAACTCAGAGTTCCAACATACTTTACATTCATCTTCTTGCAAGTAAACGTGTGGTTCAAACCCTTGCAGGTAACAATCTACAAAGATCATGAACTCTCTTAAAACAGAATTAGTTCCAAAATTTAAATTAAAATTTAAACTCTTTTCGGTGCTCTTAACTACAGTAATGCCTGTTCTGCAAGAACAAGACCATGCAACAAATATGCCCAGTTACCGTGGGAAAACACAAACTAGGAATTGTGGCAGAAAGGCATCTTACATAACTGAAGAGAGTTTCTTTCCTTCGTTCCCTTTTAGGCAAAACTTGTAAAACAAAAGAAAATAATTTCCTTTCTGTCCTTTCCAGGAACAAAACGTACATACATGTCCCTGCAAACCCACTCACCCAACTAATGCTTTTGCAGCCAACACTTCTAATTAAGCCTGCGAGAGCTGTAAGAAAGGAGAAGGGAAGCAGGGCAAGAAGGGAGGCAATTTGGCTTCAGTAACAAACAGCAAGCAGCCCGCAGGCAGTGGCTGAAGTATATTAAAACATCTCTTTCATTATGCAGCAATATCAGGACCCTAAGGTAGTTAACAATGAACTGCAGCACTCCTTCTCTCTGCTACAGTATCAAAAATAACCTTATTTCTTTGCCTCAGCTTCTCAGCAAGTACTGAACTAGTGGGAAACTTCAGAGAGGCTGGACCTGCACTCCAAGACAGGTTGCAGCATCCCTCATCCTGCAGACACGATTTCTTTGGTCCCTTTTGTTCATTGGAGCACAGCACAAAACAGACCAGGCTCTTCTCACTGACCAAACTGCCAGTCCCTCCATCAACACAATTCTCTCAGAAGCCCCAGTCTCACCCTTGCTCTGTTCCATATACTCTGCTGCTATTAATCATCTCTCAGCCCTGATGAATAAAGCTCTTTCCACATAAAACCCTTTAGGTCACATAAGGTTCTTAGACATAACAGGCAGAAAAATTTCTATTTCAACTTGAAATGTCTAAAACAGGGAAGGGATTTGTTTCTGGGTCTTCTGTGCTGGTGTTGGTTATGTCTTTCTGTTGGTCCCAATTATATTGCAGTACATGGCTTCATGGTCATTCCTCCTGTACTATCCTGATGAATACTGAAACTAAGAGGTTAAAAAAATCAAATTACTAGTCACAAATTCACACAGGCATTTTTGCATTTCTGAGTTTAATAAGGACCTATTCTAACAGGACTAGAAAAATCAAGCATTTGTTGTGTGAGTTCAAACCCAAACATGTACATAGACCCGAGGTGTCCCCTTACAGAAGCTGCTTTCAGAAAAGTTATAATCTGGCAGTGGACAATTCAGCTTTGGTCCCCAGACCTTCACCTGTTAGTGGCTGCTTGCATATACTATATATACTACATACACTGTAAGCTGAATCAAGCAGTCAATGCCAACCTAAAGTAGTTTCCAGACAGGAGTTCTGGGGTAAGGGACTGGGGTTGAGAGATGCTTGATCCAAGTGTTTAAAACACTTCACAAATTAGTTTAATGTTTCAAAAATGGAAGCCAAGGCACCAAGCTGACAAACCTTTTAAGGTAATGTCTGAAAATATAACCAAGATCACCTGCCTTTTCTTGTTCAAACAACTTCTTTCCTATGTGCAATTCTGTTGGTATCATGGTGGCTGTGAAGCACTCCAATGCCTTCCTGACAAGTCATCATCTGTACGTCATCATACATATGCTATTGCTTCTCTCCAGTGCTGCTGAAAAATTGCCTTTTAAGCAGAAGCAGAAAGATTTAACCATCTTTTCAAAATATCAGAAACCAGTGTTTCAAAATCTCCAGACATTCTTGAAATTAGAATTTCTGTAATGCCACAATTAAAACATTTCCTACATAAAGACTTCCATATATATATATGTACATATATATACATACACCACTTGTATCTGTACATCTTTTTTTGCTTGAATTATATCCAACAAAAGAGAAGTTAAACTTTAATTTTGGCTTAAGATAACTGATTAGCTGCCATTCTACTTTAGCTTTGTATTTGTCACATTATACTGTTGATCTTTAAAATCAACATATCAAACCTCATATCAAATTTTTATTTATTTTGGCATTGCCAGGATTTCACAGATACCTTTTAAGACATACTATGTGCTGAATATACATACTTGTATAGAATATATATGTCAACAAGGCTTTACCATGAAAGAGTGCTCAGCTAAAACAGGGGGTAGGGACAAGACCTGGATGACAAAAAACAGTCAGTTCTATCACTTGTCCAAATCACTCTCTGTTCTCAAATTACTGGCAGGCAAAGACACATCTGTTGGTGCCAAATTATATTACAGCCATCAGCAATAACTGAATACAAGGACAATGCCACGATATCTGGCATTATAGTGACTGACATCATCAGTTGACAAATGAAACATGAAAGTGAGAGGCTGCAAAATAGAGTGATATTAGCATTTAAGTCTAATTGGACTGGTTATGCTGAAAGCAAAAACATGAAGGAGAAAGTCTGTATGAGCCGGTGGGAAGCCAGAGTCCTGCAATGTTAAAGCCCAGGCTCCCAAAGCAACAGGAGCATTTGTGAATCTCAGCACAGTCACAGCAGACAGACACCTGGTATAAATACAAGGCAGACCTAACATAATGATGGTGTTTATTTCCAAGAACTCTTGTTGACATCAAAAGCTAGAGAGGCTTGCCATGTTTTCCAGGACACAACCAAAGGTCCAATCCACAAGGGACACAGACAGGAACATAGAGGATAACTTGGCCAACTTCAGCAAGTGAAACCTGCAAGAAACTGGGCAGGAGAATGAATGAACAGGAAAACCAATGGGCGGGGTGGGGGGAGAGGGACAGGAGGGGAGTGAAAGGCAAAGCAGTTTTTCTTGTGCAAGTAACTACACATTAGAGCCTGCTCCTACCCTGACAACAGCTATGTGTTTATGGCCATGTTGTTCTGCCATCCGTTTCCCCAGCTGCAAGTCTCAGGTGCAACGTGCATAGGATACACATTTAAGCCAAGATTAGCCTACAGGTTTTGGGTAGGGAGCCTAACTAAAAGTATGCACATCTATACAAAGCTCACATATATTTGCTTCACAGAATGAGAGAAAAACCCACATCAGCTATTTGAAGATGAACCTTCATGCTGAATTGGCATACGTACCCACAATGGAAATAAATCCATCAGAATAGAGCAATCATATCAGATTTTTTTTTCTGCTACAAGTCTAGGCTTGTTTGGTGGTGCTTTGGGTGAGGAATGTGTTTTTCACTGAGGCACACATCTTTGTACATCAGTTAGATCATAAGATTCTTATTTTACTCAATGTTTTCCATATCATTCCTTGTACGAAGAGGTGGGGATGCTGCTTGGTCTGCCAGTAATCAATCTGACATAATTTTTGGCAAGAGACTTACATCAGCCAACTTCAATATGTAAATCAGAACATGCTTTTACCATGTCACATCTCAGACCAACTGAACTCATTATCCTACCAAGTAAGTGTACCAATTTTAACTTCTGAAATGTTAACATTACAGGGAACTTCAGTTGATCCAAGGGACACAGTATCATCTCAACCTACTGCAACTTCATGGTAATTAATTAATTTCTCTTCAGTATAGCACACATAGTGATATTCTAAAAATTTCCTTGGAAACAGTCCCCTCCTATTGCTGCCCTTGTAAATACTCAAGAATTTTTCACACAGGAGCTGTATTAATGTGGGACCTGTCTCATACTGCCATTATGAAACAATCACAGTCTGTGCTTTTGCAGAGCTCCAGCAATACTGCTGTTAAATTTTGACAGGTTTTCCAAAGACTCACTCTGGCTAGATGCTACCAATACCTCAGCACACAAAGCATCTCTCCAAATAGTTTAGGAATAAAACTCTTGCAGCTTTCTACTCATAGTCCCACCCCCCCAAGCACAACATTCTCCCAATATTGCTTCAGTGATTTTTTTTGTTAGGACTTCCATTTCCTTCATTTAAGTTTCCTGTAGAGCTTTCTGTCTACAGACATATTTTAGAGCTCTTTTGTTTATTGAATCCTAATGTTTTAATACCCAATAGCGTTGGGCTCCACTGAAATATGCATCTAACCCTTTTAAAGAGCTAAGCCATTTAAAAACCATATTCTATACCATGTACTCATAGCACCAAATAGGATCAGAAAAAATAAAGGCTATTCTGTACAGAAAACAGCAGTGAACATAAACCTTACAGATCTTTTTTTCATTTTGGAAAACAGAGATCCCAAATACACCTCTCAACATTGTTCATAAAGAGTAACACCAAGCCTGCTGCAGTTTAGGCACCACATAAGATTTTGCGTTGTTGTGAAACAGCGTAAAAGATTCAGCTCCTGGATAATCAATCAGGAATGAACTCGGATACTGACAGGTTGCTAAGTGACTAAGATAACATATATATTAAAAACGTTTAGACAATATTTTCTTTTTGATTGGGTTGTAATTATGGCTGTGACAAGGAAAAAAAAATCAGACAAGTTGTTGAAACAGATGCCAAAGATTTTATACAAGGAATGTCATGGCTGCTCTCTCTTTGTGCATTAACGTGGTAGTAAAGCTACATGCATAAACAGCACACAGGGCACAGCCTACAAACCAAGAACACATTGCTCACCCATTAAAAAAATAAAAAATACTTTGAAGCACAGAATTATACTAGATGTACAGAATGTCTTTTGAAAGAGGATTTCTACCTACTTGTGCCCTCACTTGGACAACTCTCAGTTTATGGCAGACTTTTGCTTACAGAAACATGAGACAGTCCCCAGTAAACTTGGCCAGTACCGAAGGTGTCCTGAAACATCTTCTAAATCTACTTCCTTGTGTAGGCTGGATGTAGTTGCAAAGGGGCAATCACTCTATGAATATGTTCTTTCAGAAACAAAGCAAGAACCCACTTGTTACAAGGAAAGTCAGTACGCTTGTTCAGAAGATAAAGTCCTTTATAGCAGTTAATTTAATAATACAGTCTTAAAACAGGGTGTTGGGCATTCATCTACAGAAGAGCACATTTAATAAGCTGGGGATAAAATACCACCACAGTTCCAGGACATTGCATTAAACTCCAGCCACTCCAAGAGGAGGCAACTTCCATGGTGAAAGAATTCATGTCTATGTAAGCCAAGAAAGGAGCATTTTAGGCAGTTTAGTCCACAATGGTCTCTTACTTTGCATAAGTGGAACCACAAATCCACAGTACATGACAGTATAAGTTAGGTTAAGTGGTGCTTTTGATAATAAACTCAGTGAATTCATTGCAGTCCTTTAATAAAAGGATGAAGTCCAGTGAGTGCCAGTTGCAAGGAGCAAAGAAGAAAGGTTCCCATTTTCCAGATTTATTCTTAAGTTCATACGATCAGAACAAAGATGAGTCAAATCTGTGCAGTTTCTATGCAACCACATTTGAGAACACAGAGACTTCAGAGACTACAGGATCACTTAAAAAGTGGGGAAAAAGAAAAGTCATCACAACCCAAACAATTTAAACTTCATATTTCAGAATTGCCTACAAAACTTGTTCTCTTCTGCTCTGGACAAAACTTTTAACTGCAATGATCTGACAGAGAAACTTGAAGAAAACCTGAGTACATGAAAACATTGTCAGGGAGAGCAAGACCCTGCTACCTTTTGATCTGGTATTAAAGTTGAAATGGCAAAATCAGAATGCTTTGCCTTGTGCCATATGATTTCCTTTACCTTTCAGAGCTCTACTGGTCTCTACCGAGGGGTCTGTTTCAACTTGATACCTCTTGCACTGCAAGACCATTGCTCAAACCACAGTTCAAATAAACTTGCTCATAAATCTGGGTTTAATCTTGCACAGCCAGAAGGAGAGCATCTCCAGATGCAGGGCTGGTTGAATTGCCAGGTGTAATTCATACATCAACATTGGAGATTTCCTGGCAGCAGAGTCCAAACCTTCCTCACAGGACATCACGATCAGCAAGACATTCCAAAAGAAGAATTAGAAGGCCATAAGTCTGATCCAATATAGTAAGGAACAACACCATCCATCATTTGAACTAGGAATACTCGAAGCTTCATTAGCCAACCGTATTCTTAATATCCTGAAGTATACACAGCTGATATATATATATATATTTAGTTGGAATAAAATACACTGGATTTTGGTTTGCTCATTTACAAGGGAGCTCCCTCCCTTTCCCAGTTAATTTGAAATTAAAACTAGAGGCTGAACGTAAGCTCATTCCCAGCGTTTCAAGATGGATATAACACGAGAGGAGGCCAGAAACTGGAAACATGCACTCTGGCTGCAACAGGTTAAAAGGTTTAAAGGGAGACCAGATATTTTCATTTGTAACCCTGAGAACATAAGGAATTGCAAAGATCTGGAGAGGAGCCTGGGGTTAAAGGTCACCAGGCTTTTTATTGCAGTTAAAGCAAACTCGGACTGGGTGATCCCATCCGCGGGAAGGAACCGCTCTGCGGTCATGTGAGCATTCGTCACAGAATCCCTGGCCACAGGCCCGACAGTGGTGTTTGGAGAGTTTGATACTGAATTCCTTCCGGCAATTGTGGCAGTGCAGGATTTCATGGTCTGGTACCCAGTATGCAGGTCGGGCAGCATCTTTTACCAGACCTAAGGAGGAGGTGAGGTGGGGGGATGAGAAAGAGGGACAAGAAAATAATCTGTCAACATAAGCACATGAAGAATGTACTGCAGGGGAAGTACTCACACACGCAAGTCATACTGCTGCCATTAAGGGGAGGTGATCTACTGACAGAATACTTTAGTGCATCTGGTAGCCATTTAAGGCATTCTGTCATTCTCCCACATTCTGCCTCTCTTCAAAGGGGCAGACTGTTTCTCCTTAAGTAGCGGCATCTTCCCTTACTCAGACTCTTCCAGAGGTTGAGACACTTGCTTTTCCCTACTTTCAGCTTCATCTGTGGCCAGAAAACCCCACAGTTACCAAGCCAAATATTCAGAAACGCATATACTATCTAAACTGAGAAAGGGATTTATTCTGCCCTTCATGGACTCCGAGAGCAAACACCCACAAAAAGGATAGCAGGGCATGCTGCAGGCAAAGCAGTTGAATGATGATCTGCACAATGAGCAGGAAATCAGGTCCAACAACAGAAGATTCAAATGTGAAATGTTTGCTGACATACCTAACTGCCACTCAGCACACGAAAGAGCAGCAAACGTTCACTGTACAAGCTCACCATTAAAGATCACATTACTGATTACTTCCCCATCATTACCAAGCTGGACAGCTTCAAATTCTCAGTCTTTCCCTACAGAAGTACCAAGTGCCAGGAGTATCTGAACACACTTAAAAGGCACTCAGCATCTCTGGAAGAAAACCAAACCTGATAAAATGCTTCCTAATTGGTCAGTCTTTAGGGAACTCCAAATGGCAGGTCACTGCAGTGAATGCATCAGGGGAGCATGAATTACTCACAGCTTGGTGCACACAGATTTGCATAACAGGGAGAAAAGAGAAAGTGTGAACTGCAGGAAAAACGTGTGGAAAACCAAGAGGAAACATTAGGCAGAAGAGGCAGAGAGGACTGTAGAACCAACAGTGGTAGCATAGCAGAGGTGCCAGCCTGTCACACAAACTCTTAACATTTAATCAGTTTGAGCACAAAAATGCCTTTAGACAAAAAATCCATCAGAACAGAACAGAGCTCACCTAAGGGAATGTCCATGGCTGTCACCACTGCTCCAAGTGTGTTTTGCACAGCTTCCCCCACCTTCCTGGCAATAAGTGTCCCCCCTTCCTCATCTGAAGGCTGTTCAGCCACATCTGCATGACACAAGAGTGAATGGTTCAACACTTACAACCACCACAATTTCTGCCAAGTTTCAGTTAATTTATATTAACAAAAACCAGCAGCAAACCCAAAAAGGCACGTTGGAGTCCCTCCTCAGCCATTATCTCCCACATCCCCAATCCTGGATTGCAGAGTTTTCATTTTAGCAATAATAGACAAAATTGTCTGCTGCTGAAACAGCAGCATCCCTGCTCTTATGTTAGTGACAGACCATCAGCAGTTGCTGGAAAAACAAAGTAAAGATACAATTAGAAAATAATTTTGTCAGGGGGTCAAATAGCTAGTAGCTCTTTGAAAGGGTCACCTTTCTTCCAAAAAGCATTGAGCTCTTGCGCTTCCCGACCAAAAAATGGAAGCCCACTTCGAACAACACTGTCTACACCCAGTGGGAATCGTTCTGATCCAGAAATCGGGGACAAAGACTCCAGGCTATTGCCCAGGGATAATTCTGTCACAATCCACTCAAAATTACCTAACTGGATGCCCCTGTTTTCATAGCAGTTGTCACACACACGCACTGGTGCTGGTCCCCAGCCTCGCTCAGGCACTGGACGGGTCTTGGAAGAACAGCCATCACAGAAGCCCTCTCCGCAGGCCCGGCAGTGATGCTTAGTGTCGTTATCTTTAAAAGGTGTGTTGCACTTATTACAACTCTAATCAGAACAACACAGAGAGGAAAACTGTTAGTTTTGTCTTCCTTAAGTCAAAAATAGAGAGCAGAAGCCCAGGATGCCAAGTCTCAGACTGAAATTGTGAAAAATATAGTTACACACAAGACTTGGGTCCTACCAGACCCGTAACTTTACCCTGGGGAAGTGATTCAGACAGGTAGGTGTACAGGGGTTAAGCAAATATATGGCTATGATCTCTTCATTCACAATCACAAATAAACACAGCCACATCATGCAGAGCTGAATGGTGGTTTTTTGATCTTTGTTGGGGGTAAGAATTCAGAAGGCAGTTTTCACTGAAGATGAGTGAAGATGAGTCTGTTTCCTGCGAGACACAGTGAATCTTTTCCTATTTGAACTACTTGATGCTTTTTGCATCTGGTATGAAACCAGAGTTTAACATCTGCACCCACAAAAATAGTTCTATCAACTGCAATAGTCAGATTTAATATGTTGTTTCTTTGCTTTGAAAAGCAAGTTCATGCAAGCCAGGGGTTTCTGTGATATTTCTGGGAGAGGAGCTCACAAAGACTAGGGAGAAACAGTCTCTCTAGCAGGGCTAGGCCAAGTCTCTGTTCATACTTTCTCTGGCTAAGTCAAGAATGGGAAGAGGAGAAAACATTTCAGATTTCTCAGAATTGTAGGAGAAGAGATTATTGCAGTAAAAACAAGAAGCATTTGGAATCTGCAAAGTCCTGTATTACTTAAAACGGTAAGGAAAAGGGGTTTTAGCTATAAAAAAACCTTTCTCTATAGCAGCTGCTATTTACCAGGATCTGAGAGTTGGGTCTCCAGTAAGCTGGGGCAATCTGGTCTGTCAACCAGGAGGTCACAGCTTTTGTGGGTCCCAGGCTAAGTTCAGATACTGACTGAGCCATGAAATTCATGCCATCCAACAAACGCTGGGCTGCATTGTTGTTGTCTTTCAGAAATCCATCAGTCTGGAAAGAAACGGATATTCACTTGAGAATAAAAATAGGAAATCTTTTGGGTTCTTTAGATGCAGATGGCTGTGTAACCCATTCCTCCTCTTAAACCGGAGGGCAATCAGGAGAAAAAAATTCACCAGCCATGCTTTGAAACACAAGGGTAGGTTCATAAACATAAAGTGTTCATACACTGGCATCTTAGGCCTTTTGAGATAGCCAAAAGATGACCGGAGGCCTTGCAAAGGTCCTTTTGAAGAGCAGAGACAGGGAACAGTTGTCATGAAAGCCAATCCATTTTCTCCATCGATGTCCAGAAGGACCAAATTAACATGGCTGCCCACATACACAAAGATTATCCAGCAACCAGACTTACCCCTGGCCAGACGTGCTCAATTTCTGTCCTCACCACGGTGTTCACAGGATCTTGGTTGCCAAACCAGTACTGCCGGCTGCGGTACACCACCCCACAGTTGGGGCACTCAATCACGTACCTGCAGAAGAGGAAGACAGGTTACCTCAGTGGTAACCTGAAAGCACTGGAGGTCCAGCGCACCAGGTAGCGTAGAGGCAACAAGGAGCAGAGAGATCTCAGCTGCAGAACTCACCCTGACCAGGCATACTTGGCAAGGCCCAGCCAAGGAGAGTCCGTGGAAGCAGAGGTTTTTGGCACCACACTGACCTCCATTCCTCGTTCATAACAGGCCTGTAACATAAAGACTCAAATAAAACAGCCATTCTTGAGAATTCAAATGTGGATCTGGCAACTGTTTGGACACCTAAGGCATACAATTAATATACAGAGGTCTCCACAGCAAAGGAGCACTCGTCAGAACTGATGTTTATAAACAAAGCAAAACTCCTGTTAATAATGACATCTGGGAAATATTTCTATATCAATAAAGACCATGATGTAGACAAAAATTCCCCTGTCTCCTGCACTTATCCTTCAGAAAAATTGGCTATTACCAAGCAATGGGCATAAGGAAATAGGAAGTGTAGCCACACCAAATATGTAGAAGGTCAACATTACCCAGGTTAGGAGCAACTGGCTTCACAGTTTGGCTAGAAAAATGACACACAGCACACAGAAGTGATAACCTCTCCAAGCAAACATACAAGTTGAATGAGGATTTATTTTTCTTGTCAAGGCCATGAGCACCTCTGATATTTTGAAAAAAAAATGGAAGAAAACAGGCACGTGCCTATGATATTCCTCATATGCTGGGTCATCCTTTCCTTTCTCACTCTTCAGATCTTGCCCTTGTATCGCTACTAACCTTGCAAGTGTAGACTCTGTTATCATACTGGTGAGAATATCTGCATCGACTTTTGGATTCATGAGGGACTCCTTCCTTTGCATGGTTCATGCTCCTTTTGCAGCCACACCTGAGTATGCAAAAGCAAACCCTGAGTTGTCACTGTTAGACACAGGACAGATGTCACCAAGATTTCATTTCTATTACTGTTCTTGCATTTATAAAGATGCTGTACCCTCAAACCATTTCCACAGCTGTACATAAAGCAACGACAACATTTATCATTGAAAGGCAGGCTTTTCAGATGGAGGTAGCGACTGTTTCACATACAAAGCAGCACTACACAACAGTTCACTGCAGAAAATGATCACTGTAGCAAATTTAAATTTCAGAGAGTATTTTGGGAAGGACTAAACAAGTTTGGAAATTGACCATTACGAAGTTAACAGTGCAGCCTTTGCAAGGAATTGCTGGAAACTCTCTACTGAACATAAGAGAGAACAAACATAGCACTATATCACATTTGAGAGGAAATGCTTCCAGAAGCATAACCAGCCATAACATCATGCTGCTATACACCTCACAGACTCAGACCACTGATTGCCATTAGTGCCCTTCCAGGTTCAATCTTGGGGCTCTTCTCAGAGAGCTACAAGCCAAGGTCTAATCAAATCTGGAGCTTCACTTAGATGTGGTCACTGAACACAGTGGACATCCATGATGTGTGCTTTAGGACCGTTTATACCATTTAGGTAATAAAAATGTCAGGGAAAAAACAAAGGAAATTTCAAGGGATTTATTTAGGCACTCTTTTCTTCCTGCTCCGCTTGCATTTGGGAAAAGATAATGGGCGGTGCAGGTTTGTAGCCATGCACAAAAATAGAGCAGGTAAAACCAATGGATCCACCTTTGATGCAGCAATCATAGTCATCCAATTCACATAAGAGTTGAATTTCAAGCTAATTCTGCCTAGAAGTACTAGCTGATGATAGGTGATGTCAGGTGTCAAGATGTCACAGAAACTTTACGTTCTATGGCTGCAGACCAGAGCAGTACTATCCTCTAGAAGGATGAGAAGCATTTCTCATCCACTTACCCACAGCTGAGGCACACAGAGGAGCATGTGAAATATTCATCTGGAAAGAAAGAGCTGTGAGCCATCTGGTCATCAGGGATCTCCCCACTGAACCGGTCACTTAGAGCCTGTCAAACAGAAAAGAACGAACTGGTAAGGGATCAAGAGCAATGAAGACATTTTATGCAAGCTTTTGCAAGCAAAAGCATGGATTCCTCTACTGGAGGGAGAGGCAGAGAGAGCACACAGCTAACAAATAATGTCTTACTAACCTGGAGACCAAGACAATGATTGAAAATCAATGAAGAAGACAGCGCTGCACTTGTTTGAAAGTGACCTGAATACTTGTAAGATACTCTTCTCCTCTCCTCCTGTCTCTGCTTTGAATTTTGTAGTAGAAACAGATGATTGAAGATTGCATCCACCCCTGTGCATACAATCCTTGCCCACAATAGTAGGGCTCTTGCTAAAATGGCTTTGCATTCTTGAAATCTCACAAAGGAAACTCAGAGGATCATTTCTCATAGTGCATGAGGACACATTCTTTGTCTCTCAGCTAGAAAGTGCTGCCCTGAGCTTTCCTCTGCCCACTCAACAACTGCTCTTCTCTGGTAGAACTGCAAAACTGAGACAAAGGGATTTGTACCCTTTCCTGGAAACATCTATTCTCAGATTAATTCAGTCCTTAGCCTTGGCATAATTACCTTTTCTAGTTCTTTTGGGTGTTATGATTAGGGAAAAAAGAAAAAAAGCAAGCACTGAAACAAAACAAATGGTTAAAGTTTTTCTTGATGGAGATCTCTGAAGGCATGAGATCTAACTGAAACTCTTCCTACAGCTGAGGTTAATATAGCGACTGTCTGCCTTTCTCTTCCTTCCTCTCCCCTCCCAGGGTTGAGGGTGGGTGGAGTGGGTGCATCTCTGCTGTCTAACAAGGGTTGGCTGCACCAGACGTGTATATCTCTCTCACCACAGCTTCCCTCAGATAATATCTCTACGTAGACATTTGATTTCACATAATGTCAAGGAAATTGGCTTTACATTCTCTTTCAAACTTGACTGATATTGGACAATGAATTCAAAAGTTAGAGGAAGTGGTCATAGATCTCTAGGAAGCCTTATGCACTCAGGAAGTGAAGCAAAAAAAGTTAATTTGTCAGTAGCAATCTGAACACAGTAAACACTCTACTGGACATGAATTTAGGTATATTAGCATCTATATCTGAAACCAGGTTACTTGATTATTGCAGTAAAGTCCTAAAAATTAAACTGAAATTAACCGCTCTGGCTGTTTTCCCCTTGCTGCCTGTCTGCTCCCTAATGCATACATGCTACCCTGATATTTCCTGAGCGGACAGAATTATCTGTTCCAACAGCTGTGACTAACATCAGAAAAGACTGCTAGCACTGCCTTCTTCTGCAGATATGCCCCAGCTCTGCCTGCCCCTCCCTGATGACAGCTGTGCTCTTCAGGCCAAAGAAAATACAATGTTAATCAGGTAGGGGTAGCAATACAAGTGGAAACTTCTAGAAAGACTGCAAATTTGAAGACCCCAAAACCTCTCTGACACCCTAGCAAAGTGAACCGTCTAAGAAGATTACTCACTTTGAAGTAATGCATCATTTGGCTTAATCCCATCCTGTTCCCTGGCTACCAGCACATCTCCTAGCCCTTGGGTTACACTACATTCAGGGCTAGGTGCTGTCAATTATTAACTCCCTCCAAATCTCTTGCATTTTCTCCTCTTGTGCTGAGGCCATCTTTAGGAATTTCATTAAAAAATTCCTTCTGAGCCTTCTCTTTGTAAATCACTATCATTAAGTCCTTATTACTCACAGTCTCAATTACTTTTTTCTTCCCAGCTCAGGTTTTTGATTTTGCTTAGGTTTGCTCTTCAACTTTTCTTGACCTTTCACAGTCTTTACTAAGGTGCTTGTTTGTTTTCAAGTAAAAAAAAAAACAACTACCTGCCTCCCTGGCTGTTACACAAAATTATCATCTTCATGGAAGACTTGCTTTATCCAGACATCTGCAATCTGCATCACAGGTTCACATGCTCTACCTTTATGAGCTGCAACTGAGTTACTAGCAACAGTGATACAAATAAAGACTTTGACAAACTCTTCTCCACTTACTTTTAGTGCTTTGTAGATAACCCCAGGCTGCCTAGGTGACCGAGTAGTATTGTTCTCCAGCTGCTGCTCCACAGCTCGCCTAAGCCCAGAGAAATCTGTTGGAGGATTGTATGTCCTTGTTCCCTTGTAGTGAATTGAGCTGAAAGCCTCAGGAAAACAGCTTAGCTTCCGAAACCGATCCTGAATGAGCTTCTCAGGAACCTCAGAAGGATGATCTGTACACAAGAATATCAGCAAGTACATGAACAAATGATTGTTCAAAATAATATTTAAACTGTATAGTACTTTCATACGCAATATAGTTCTAGTTTCCTTAATTAAATCTTCTAATACATCTGGAATGCAGTTATCATTATATTTTAAAGAAATGAAAAGAAACAAACTGTTTCCAAAAGCAGTCTCTGCTTTGTGATATAGAGCTTTAGATTCTAAGATCAAGTTCCTCAGGTAAAATCAGACACATCTAGGTTTCGAAACAGTTATGCAAATTAAGGAGCAATTTAGGACATAATACAAGGCAACATCATGTCAGCACACTTATGAATTCTTCTCACCAGACCATAATTTGGTAGAGCTAGCACTAGCACCTGATAAGTGGAGGACATGAACCTTACATGGACTGCTTGTTCTCCATGCCAGTACTGTAGCAAGGAAGACCAAGCTTTTATCAACCATTTGTATGTGGCAAAGCACTTTGGAGCTGGTCACATCAGGTCAGATTCCACAGAGCCAACCACATTCTTCTGCTTGCTTCCAAGTACCTGCTGTGCATTTCAGAATAAGGCAGGCTCTTTCTTCCCTGCCCTAAGACTATATAAACACACTTAATTATCCATTGAGACAGATGTTTACAGCTTTCTGCATAGCCACGTGCTAAGAGGTTTCTTTCCTATTCCTACTGTGACCAGAAGTGATCATAGAAATATCATTTTTTTACTACCCTGACTTTGCATACAGGTGCAAAGTGTCCTCACTAAAGGCTGACCTGTTGAAACAGTAAATGTCAGCAACTATATGAAACTCTGAATTGCTCATCAGCAAATTGGTATGTAAGAAAAGGAACTGCCTTGCAAGCAAGTTAAAAGTTATTAAGAAGTTACTCTAATAATAACCGGAAAGAATGTCAAGTTCTTCTACTAGCTCAAGACATCGCTGGTTAGAAAAGCCAAAATGAGAATGTGGGTCAGCCAGGACTGCTGGGGTGTTACACAACAGAATTCTCCTATATGTTCACAGGCAGCCAGACTGAGCCTCAGATGCTGCAGGCCAATTCATTATGGATCTTGCTTATCAAAACACCAGAAATGGACCAAATTAAGAAAGGTTTCATCATACATTTTGAAACATGGAAAAAAGTGAGAAGAAATTTAGATTCCTGTGTAGTCAAAACCAAAACACGCCATGACTTCCACAGGACAGTGCATTTCACTCAGACATACGAATAAAATACAGAACTTAAATACAAATAATCAAATATTACATGAGGCAAGTTAAAAGTACTGGTGAAGAACACTGAAAGTGGTGGGAATAATAGTGTGCCAGGTCTGCCCCTTCAGCCTTGCAGAGAGAGAAGTGATGTCAAATCATCAGCTCTGTGCCACCACAAACTCACATCAGCCTCAGAATGATGTTAGTCCATAGAATTAAAAAGAGGAGAGTGACATTCATCAAAGTCATTATTCTTGCTCCTCCTAGTTTCTACACAGAATTTTATCCTCATTTTATTTGCAACAGAGTAGTACACATCCTTGCCAAAATCCCAGGGTGTCTCAGCTGTGTCGAGTTTGTGTGGCCAGGGTTTTGGTAGCAGAGGGGTTACTGGGGTGGTTTCTGTGAGAAGTTGCTGCCCCACGTCTGGCAGAGCCAATGCCAGACAACTCCAGAATGGACCTGCTGCTGTCTAAGCCTGGGCCAATTAGGGATAATAGTAACATCTCTGTGGTAACATATTTAAGAAGGAAAAAAAAGGTTATTGTGCAGATGTAATTGCAGCCAGGGAAGAGCAGAGTGAGAACATGTGAACAACTCTGCAGACACCAAGATCAGCGGAGAAGGAGAGGCAGGAGGTGCTCCAGGCACTAGAGCTGAGGCCCTGCAGCCCGTGGTGCAGACCATGGTGGGGCAGCTGTGCCCCTGCAGCCCATGGGGGATCATCGGGGTGCAGAGATCCACCTGCAGCCTGTGGAGGAGACCTGTGCTGGAGTAGGTGGATGCCCAACAGAGGGCTGTTACCCTGTGGGAAACCTGTGCTAGGGCAGGGTCCTGGTAAGAACCTGCTGACCCATGGACAGAAGAGCCCATGCTAGAGCAGGTTCTCCTGGTAGGACTTACAACCCTGTGGGGAACATGCTGGAGCAGGCTGTGCCTGAAGAACTGCACCCCCTGGAAGAGTGACCCATAGTGGAGCAGTTCATGGAGAACTGTTGCCCATGGCATGGACTCACACTGAAGAAGTTCATGAAGGACTATCTCCTACGGGAGGGACAGTCCCACGCTGGAGCAGAGGAAGGACTCTTCTCCCTGAGCAGCAGTGGGAACAACCCAGAATGGACTGACCATAACCACCACTCCCCATCTCCTTGTGCCACTGGGGGAGAGGAGGTGGAACTTGGGAAGGAGAGAAGGGTGGGGAGAATGTGTTTTAAAGATTTATTTTACTTCTCATTATCCTGGTCTAATTTTATCAGTAATAAATGCAATTAATATCCCCAAGCTGAGTCTGTTTTGCCCGTGGTAATATTTGGTGAGTGATCTCTCTCTGTCCTTATTGCAACTCATGAACCTTTCATTATATTCTCTCCCCTGTCCAGTTGCAGAGGGGAGTGATAGAGTGGCTTTGATGGGTGCCTGGCATCCACCCACGGTCAACCCACCACATCACTTTTCACCTTCCTCTCCTATATCACCTATACTCATGATCTTGTATGATGTCCCCTCCTATGGCTGGCAGCACTCATGACTAGTCAGTGCTGATGTACAGCTGGTTAAGAGGATTATTCTAGCTGATCTGGAATAGTCAGCTAGGGAATAATCACCAAAAGGGAATGCTCTGCTAGTTCCATAGCTTGGTTCCCAGACTTAAACAAGTGGGAGCAAAACGCAAATCATATCTTTATACGATAGTAAAGAATGACAAATATTCAATGCAAACTGATAATTTATAGACAGTGTTTAGCACACTGTAATTCAGTTTCTTACTGCCTACTCACCAGAGCCCAGCAGCTTGGTGTATACAGTCTCGTGAAAGATGATGACACCTGGACCCAAAGTTGACAGAGGAACATCTAGGCCACAGCGGGCTGTAGTAGCTTTTAGCTCCTTAGTGAAATGTTTTAAATAAGCCTCCGAGGCATCGCCAAGAAATTTGAAGAGATCATTGTGGAGCCTGTCAGCACGAGTACGGTAGATGACAAGGTCAGAGATGGCCAGGACCTTCAGCAGCAGCCGTGTTCTCTGGCTCAGGTTCACAGTGGCCCCCAGGAGGCCCTCTGTATCAATCACCACCACTTTGCGGACAGGGTCATAGGCTGCCCAGACTCCAACTGTGCAAGACTCTTGGGCTGGAGACGTCTTGAAGACTTCCCGACCGTAGAAGAAAGTGTGGTTAAGGGTGTGAGACTTGCCATCCCCTGTGTTCCCAAAGATGGACACTACCTTTAGATGCTGGTCAGGACTGCAGTCCAGTTTCTTAATAAAGTCTTCTTCATTCCTTACCTTCCAAAACAAAAAGAGAAAAATATTATAACTATGCAATTGGAGAAGACAACGCTGAAAACACAGCTGGTTTCAGGATTCATAATATTAAAAAGAGCAATTATCTCCTCTTCAGATTTCATGATAAGTTTCTGAAGCACCAAGAAATACAAAGCAAAATATTAGAATGCAGTTTTGTAAAACACACATATCAATGGCATTTACTGTTCCATCATGTAGCTGTTCCAGAAGTGATGCCTCACTGTGGCTATGTGACTGGTCAAACCTCTTGTACCTCACCCCACTCCCTGAGGCAGTCCTTTCAGAGAAGGGAGCACAACTCTCTTCCAAGTCTGACAGAACAGCTACTTGGAGCATGGCAGACTTCCATAGTAGCACTGGTCTCCTGATGAGCATCCAAATTCAGGGGAGTGCTTTTGTCACTTTAACTTGCCTCATTCACTGAGGCTGAGCATCTGTTTAGGGAGAAAAATCTTTGCCATGCGTCTGTGCTGCAGCCTGTCCTGCTCCCATTGCTCTCCAGCTGATCATTCCTTCAGCTGGAAAGGAGAGGCAGAGAAGAAGCAAAGTTGTGCGCTGGAGTCAGGTGCTCAAAGCAGTTCAAACTGGCTCTCACAGAGGTGCCACAGCTACCTACATGATCCATTTCATAATTTACTGTATTGTACTTTCATTAAAAAAACAAACAAACAAAAAAAACCCACAAAAGAATATGCAGACACAAAACCAAAAGGGAGTAGACAGCCTTCAGCAGGTAACTTCTCTTTGGCTTTGCATAGATTAAGTGACAATTGTCATGCTATCTAGGTTAAAGAAGAGGGCATTTTTCAGATACTAGAGCAACAGGAATAGATAAACAAGCAATGATATGGGGTTAGGGCTTTGTACAAAAGTCTGCCTTGACCTTGTTGCAGAATATGGCCTTGGCTTTCTCAGGTTTTATGCTTCTGGCTACAGTTGTTTAGTCCTTGCTGTTTCTTCTTCCAACAGGTTTTATCCCTGTATTATGTGACAGGGAAGACTATGACAGAAGCACTTTTTGTGAAGGATTGAATTCACTTTCTCCACCCCAATTCCCTCCTCAAGGAATCCCCATCAACTGAAACAATCAGAGCTTCTATCTCCTCTTGCCTACCTCTCAAGTTCTGAAGCTCTTAGCTATTTCCCCCTGAGAGGACAGTTGGAAGCCCTCAGGATCCATGATCCAGAGAGGTCATGAGGTAATGAATTATTTCTTTGAACAAGTTTATTCTTAGATCAGTAAATTAGTTTCAGGCCTAGACAGCCCCATATGCTTTGGTCAAATCTATCAGCAGCATCTAGACTTTGAAGGAAAATGAAAAACAGCTAGTATACCAAAAACATAAAAGGTAATCAGTGTGCCAGATTGTGGTTGGGAACAGCATTCACAAAGAAAAACTGTGGGCTGTGGAGCTCCTGTAGGTAATCATGGACTCAAATCATTCAAGGCATGCCTCACAAAGTAGAAGAAAACAGGAAACTGAGACATCAAAATGCTCTCAACAGAATCTTTCCTGGTGTCTGTGGGAGAACACAAACTTATACTCAAGTTACAGGTGCACAAGAAAGGGTCTGCTTTTCTGGTAGCTTTTATCATTAGCTTATCATCAGGAAGGTAGTTCAGACGATAGATGCAGTTTCTCCTAGTGTCTCTGGAGATGTCTCTGTGGTTGGTTCATGGGATAACTCCTTAAAACATTTACAGATTTGACAATATGTTATGTGTGCATAAGCAAGAAGGACATGATCATGTCTTCTTCAAAGGGTTTTGTTTTTAACTCCCACCTCCCAGACTTCTAACCATAAGGGTGGTAGATTCTTTTTGCCAGAGTCAGTGGCCATGCACTCCCTGGACCACACAAGAAAATAGTTTTCAAACAGCTGCTTAAGTATTGGCAGCACAACTAATGACTGAAGTCTTTCAGGCAGCACTGGTTATTATTCTGGTAGCAGTTTGGGAGAGTTTGTGGAAGGGGCTGAGTCAGTAATGTCAGAAGACACAAAGGACAGTAGGGACCACAGGGATAAGGGTAGCTCTGCAATGTATTCCCACCAATAAGAGGCAGGATTCAACTCGTGCGGAAATTGTCCTAAGCTGAGCTAATGCAAGTGTCCAAACCAACAGCTTTCTTTTGCATTCAATGTACTTTAAAAACTGCTGATGCCAAAGCAACATATTGTGGAAAAAAAAGAGGTGGATTGCTGAGCCAGACAGAAGAAAAGTTGGTTCCAGTACTCCAGCAGAAAAAGTTATGCTAAATATCAAATCACACATCCAAAGTACTGAGCTGTTGTTAACCCCTTCTTAGGTTCTAGGCTCTTTAAGGCCTCCTTTCAGGACAGAACTCAGGAATGATTCAGACAAGCAAGTTACCCAGGAGCACAAGAATGCACCAAAGTCTAGCTAGTCCAATGCTGTGTCTTACAGATCTTGGTAATGACTGAGAAAGAACTTAGACATGAAACAAGTAAATGTTTCCTAGCATGCTTTACCAATTCTCAGAAATCATACAACAAAGGACTTCCTGAGCAGCGATTGCACCCAGATGCTCACATTTGGTAGAGAACCAACAGACCTATCCTCTAGGAGGTGGTCCTATCCTTTTAGAACCTAGTCACAGTTCTGGATACTGCAACATCCTTACATCCTCAAATTCCCTGTTGAGGGAGAAGAAACAAAACCAAAAAACAAACTAATGCAATAAAAAAACCACCTTCCCTTTGAAGTTGCATATGCTTGTACGATATTGGGTGCTCCCTGCTCCTGTGCACAAGTTGACTTTAACCAAGGCTGAGCACAGGGATGATGCTCTCAAAAAACCATCCACAACAATCCCCATAGCAGTAGTCAAATTTACTTCCCTTGAGCAAGTTTCTTTAAAACATTTGAATTCAGAGTGGGTGTGTACTAATCCCCATTAGGTCTGTCAAGTCCCACTTGGCCGTTTTGCTTCTCATCTCTAAAGAAATTCATATGGTACCACCTTCTGCTGTATATGGAAAAGGATCCTGTTTCCATAAGTGTGTCCACTCCCACATTGCCCAAGAGCTCCAAATCTCTGATGCTAACAGCAGAGGGTAAATATGAAACCTTCCTTAAATTGCACAACAACATAAATTAAGAACGAAAACTATATGTCTAACCTAAGACAACAGTCATATCTCTTTAGCCCCTTCCTATTTTGCCATTCTAGTATCAGAGACTCATTTACACTTTTGATACAGCTCTTAGAAGACTCTCTTCTAAAACGAACATTTTTACTCTATCATATGGTGGAAGAATCCTGGTTAGCTTTCTTTTATAGTTTAAACTACATTTCTTTTAGCAACTGCCGTTCAGCTCCCTACGCAGTCCCTTCGCCAAACTCAGCTGAACTTGAGGTGAAGGTCTTCAACAGGAAAAAAACAGAACTTGATAGCTAAAGTCTTCCATAAGGAGGGCACAAAAAACTCATACCATGTGGCTGTGGAGCACATTTAGGACTGAAGCTTCTTTATCACCCATACTTGGAAATCTATTATATCTAACATAACAAGTTTCCTAGATCTGAGCCCTAATAAAAAGTAGAACCCTTTAGAAACTGAGCTGCTAAAATGAAACAAGAACTGCTAAACAAGAGAGTTCTTGTTAAGAAGCAAGAATTGCTAAAATGACATTTCTGCCTATGAGTTTCTTGGTAACAATGTTATTTAAAAAAGAAAGTGTTAAAAAGCTTAAGAAAAGAAAATCTAAGAAAATAGAACAATTTCCAATGACCTGTACTCGTACAACTTTAAATCTGTCTCCAGGCAAAACAAACACATTCAGAGAATCAGACATTTTTACCACAGTTTTCTCCTTTTGAAACTCTTTTGAAGCCTTTAGGGCTTGCTAATATTCATGGCAGTGGTGCACAAAGCCAGAGCTGTGCCACGACACACAATAGCTCAAAACAAAAATCAAGAATGCTTGGCATAGTATTCACCAGAGCGCCTTCATTTGCTAGTCTTACACTGTCATTTTGACTCACATTGGTACTTTGTTGTTGTGTTTTGAAAACTTACTATTTGCCTGACCTCATTTTAACAGAGTATTTTTAATAAATAGCATACACTTTCTGCAATCAAGAAAGATACCATCATATAAATAATTAAATTTCTGAGTCAAGGGTTATCAGTCATGGGAACAGGTAGCCCAGGGAAGTGGTAGAGTCACCATCCCTGGAGGTATTTAAAAGATGTGTAGATATGGTGCTTAGGGACACAGTTTAGTGGTGGACTTAGCAGCGCTGAGTTAATGGCTGGACTCAATGATGTCAAAGTTCTTTTCCAACCTAAATGATTCGAAAATTATACAACCAGCACATGACAGTATCTTCAGACACACAACCACAACATCAATAAAGAGGATATAAATTTAACACTGTTTTCAATGAATGGAAATATAAGCTACAAGATTTGTAACAGCACACGCAAATATATACCAGCACAAAATTCCAAATATCTGAGACAAATCAGTCTTCACATACAAGCAGTCAAAACAATCAAGTGGAAGAAAAGAAATACTATTTCCCCTAGAGCATTACTTAACACTGGCAATACAAGTAATTCTGCTCATAGTTCAGAAGACACTTTAATAAGATAATGCTTATAAGAATTCAAACTAACACCTGAAATCAAAGGGAGAAAAGGCAAAGCAAGCTAAAATAAGATCTGCAACCTTTTAAGCAGTCGTGAACTTCTAAACCACAAAACTGAGACAATATTAGGTAACTGATCTTAAGGACAGAGTATCATATCAATCATTAAACCTGGAAACAGAACAGATCTGTCAGATCTGCCCAGCTTAACACAGATCAGTTCTTTAATACACTGCTTCTAAATCTGTGTTTTAACTCTAAAAAACCAAGCTCTATCTAGAGGTAGATTCACACAAGTCTTATGGGTGCATACCTAAAGCCCCAGGTCCTACCCTTAGGTCATTAAGTCAGAATTTCAGT